AAGACACCTTTGGGAATTAGGGAGGTTGAACACCTAATAGGTTTTCTCACCAGCAAGACAGACCAGGATGGGGAACAACACAAGTAAAAAGAAAGCACTTTGGATAAAATGCAAGAAACCTCCAGTACAGGGTGGGGTGGGGTGCAGGGGTGTTGAGCTTTTCCCAGGAAATAGCCACAACCCAGGTTAAGGGATGGGTAACAAAAATTCAGTTCCAAAGATGTATACTCACAAGAGAACAGATGCATCATCCACCATTCCACCGGATAGCCCTCTGGGTATGGTTTAAAAAGTTTTTTTTTTTTGAGAATACACTCTTGTGTGTGTGTGTGTGTGAATTTGTTTAAAGCACTGGGCAAAATTTAATTTGCTCCTGGAATTCCAGCTCATCTTATGTGCACTTAAGTTGACATTTTTTTCTGCAATGCTTAATTTATAAAACTTTTGTGTGTGTGTGTGTGTGTAAACATCTTCAGAATGGTTCTTAAACTGGTGTTACAAGGTTAATGTGATATTCAAGTTAACAAAAAACCAGGGTGTTTGTGTTAAAGATCTCTGTTATAAACTGCTTAAGCTTTTTACATATGAGTATGTAAGCATCTTGAGGATGATTCTTATTATAGAGTCAATGTAAAAATTGTTACTTTTATTATGTTCTACTGCTACTTTTAAGAAAACCAGTTTTCAAACTTATTTCAATCAGGTCTCACTAGGATGCAGGCATTCAGAGGTTAGCACTCTGGCTCAGACCAAAGGAGGAAAAAAAGAGGGGGAGGGGCCACAGCCTGCAGCAGAAATCTTAAAATTTGGGTAGTTAAAAAAATGACCTTAACCTGTTTCATTCTGCCCTAAAAAAAATCTGGGATTTAATTCTCTTTTATAATACAATACATGGGTCTATTAACAAATGGGATTTCTATAAATTGTTTTTATAAAAAATAATTTGAAAGTTCCTTTCTTTCTGTTTTTTTCTCATACAAATAAAAGACTCTAAGTTAAAAGGTTTTATGAGTAAGTAAACAAAAGTAACAAAAATATATAAAAGGTATTAAGGATGTGGTTTTTTAAAAATAAAAGGTTAAAAAAAGACTGTTAAATAAAAAAAAAAAGGATAAAGACAAACTCCCCCAGGGGATACAAAATAAGTTGTCATAAAGGTACAGAGTAAGTTATCATAAAAAGATGGAGCATATAAATGCTTATGTAAGTGATTAAGTTGACTAAAATCTAAGCATTACATTAAAGGTTTTGTAAGGTCAAAATTTAAAGTACTGATGTTAAACTAAAACCTAACTCTCTAAGCTCATAACAACAAGGCTGTCCTAAAGCTACTGTATTGTTCTTGATGACATTTACAAAAAAACTGTCTTAAAAAAGGTGTTTTTTGTGCTAAGATAACTGTCAGGAATTTTTGATGCTACAGGTTAATCCAAAAATTTATCACGAGAACAAGAGCTTATTAAACCACAGAGAGGCATAGGCAGCTGAGCACCAGGAATTCTGCTGCACTGATATGAGGATTAAGACAGATTTAGTTATGTAAAGCAAAAAAAAAAAAAAAAAAATCCAAAGCCAAAGTACATTCTCCAGATAGGATAAAGAAACAATAACAACAAAACAACTCAAAAAGGAGCACTACATGGGAGGTCAAGACCTCCAGTTTTTATTAGAGTCAACAGAGTGGAGCAGAGTTGGAGTGTTAGTCCTACTCCTTCCTCATGGCAGTGGAGGGAGTCTTTAGCATGGGATGGCCAGATTGGGACTGTTATTTTAGGGGGCTCCATTGACTGCAGGTTGATGGGATCCTGCTGTATCATCTGTTAATATCAACCCGGGATGTGATCTCTTATCAACATCTGAGCCATAAGTTTTGGCCATTAGGTTTCCTAACTCCACACTTAATCTCTGTAAATATTTACCTGTGTTCTCTGGTGATTCTTGTCAGGGTTTTGACTACTGAGGTAAATGAGTCATAACTAAATAAAAGTTCATTTATGTAAAATTTTCTAGACGACCTCATAATTACGGATAAACAGCTATTGTCTTGAGTGATTCTAATACAGTCTGTAATCTATATGTGTCTGTAACTTGGCTATTTGGGGTCACTTACACTCTTTTCCCCACCCTCCAACTGATGAGAACATCTAAGGTTTTACTTCAAGAGAAACAACTAAACTAATATATATATATAACCTCTACAGAGCTATGATGCTGTTGCTGATTCCTGCATATTAAATATATTTATGTTTTTCAAGTATATCAAGTCTTCTAAAATATAAAATTTAGATAAACACAGTAAAAAAAGTTAATGGTACTGATATACCATTCTGTTAGTTGCTTAATTGTCCATCAAAATTTTAACCATGGCTGTTTTATGTTTTTGTCATTACAATTCAATCCTTCTGGGGCATTTACAATTGAGTTCATGAAAATGACTCTAATAAGCACTTATGTGTCAACCAGGTTAGCTTTTTGGATGTCTGCATTTGTTGGATTTTGTTATGTATTGTCCTTGTCTAGAAGCCCACTGCCTAAGAGCTACTCCTTCTGAGCCTCTTTGTTGCTTATATTTGGCCAAAATTATCTAGTTGGCACTGATTCCCACCTGATCTTCTCATTCCACCCCCACCCCCGACATGGGACCAAAACCAAACAAACACAAAAATCCAGGAAAGAACAAATGCTCATGATGAGAAAAACATAACCAACTGAGAAAGATCTTCATACCACCCTGAGTTCACCTAATCTCATCTGGTCTCAGAAGCTAAGCAGGGTCAGGCCTGGTTAGTACTTGGATGGAAGACAGATCTTCAGAAGAGACTGCTCAGAGACAAGCAGTTTGGAGACAAGGGAGGAATGCCATCAAAGTTTAAATGGAGTCACTCGTGACGGACCTCTCAAAAATAACCAAGGCCGAGAGGATTGAGGAAATAGTTCTTATGCATGTGTGGCTATCTGGCATTAAAGCCCTTCCAGACACAAACTCAGATTTTTTAGACAAGGTCTTCTACTTAAATAGACACAAATATGACTATTTTTACTGGCTTTAGACATGTCCTTTGATACTTGGAGATGGCATTTTTAACTTTTTTTAAACAATGTGCTTTCTTGGACATAAATACTGATACTATATTGTTGCCGTGATAATTCTCAGTAAAAAACAAACAAACCAGGAGATACTGTCTGGGTAAAAGAATGAAATGTCCAACCTTATTGGAAGGGCCCTTTTGTTATTATTTTGTCTACTCTCACTACAGTTCAAGTAGCAGAAATTGCTCCCTGGATCCACCACAGCCGAGTAAAGCCAGTCTCTCTCAAGTGGGAGTGCGTCCCTGACCCAGTCTCACCATACAAGATCACCCTCTGGAATGCCTGCGCCCTTCCTCAGCAGGACCCCGCTTCCTGGGAAACAACAGGTGACCACGAACAATGAGATGACAGCCCTGCTCTAGTCACTCTGGAAGCTGACTAGTCTATGCGCACAGAAGCTGGAACATGGGAGGCACTGCTGCTCTTCTTTACTCATATGGACTCTTACCTTTTGGGTTAGCCCTTGCAAGGTTTCCCCCATGTACTGAATGTTATAACAGAGCCATTGTTGGGACCTCCGCACAGCCATACTTTGTGTCATGCACCCACCAACAGGTTGGATGTTACATGGGCTAGTATATTCCCGGGTTTGCAAGGCTGCAGGTAAGCGAAATTGGAAGTCCCAGAGTAAGGGAAACAATACAGGCTACATTTGTAATGAAAAGTGGGGTGATGGGTCTTGTCTTGGGAGCATGTTTGATGTCACCCTGCCTGGTTCCCTTGGTATTGTGGTCCAATGGGACCATTACAGAGGCCACTACAGAGGAAAAAACAGCGCTCATGTAATCATGCTATAAAAATACAAACCTCTAAATCAAGATGATGCTCTTTGACCCTAGGTGGGTCTGAGCATCAAAGGGGGGAATGATGTAGCAGGGAGGAGGGCAAGAAAAAGAAGCAAGTCTGTGCTCTGATAATGTAGCAGCGAGTGGGGGGGATGGAATAGCTGGGAGATAAAACTTAAAGAATCTAAACGTGAAGACGGTCACTTAGCACTAGCCAATGAAATAGTGTGCAACCATATATGTATTAACTTTTGTTTCTTGCTTTGTAACCTGCTTAGAATGGTATTATAAGGCAAAGTCCTGTTGTTCTCTGGCTCAGCCTTTGGATGTGAATCTGCTTAGCTGCTGCGGGCACACTAATAACTGTTGCTTCCTGAAAAGCCTAGGTGTCTGCTTGAATATCCTGTAACACTGGGGCAGGAGAAATCATTTTTTGGGAACCAGATTGTCCCCCTCAAGTGAAAACAGTGAGAACAGCTGGACAGTGGTAACTTCTTCCTCTGGAAAGGACTGAACTAATGGTCAACCAGGCCTCACCACCCGAACTCACCGGGGACTAGCACTGTTTAACTATGCATACCTTTTGTCCCCTGCCCTAATTGTCTATTTAAAGCTAAAACTAATGTGTGTACCCCAAAGATGGCTGAAGATGGCTTCCCTCTTCCCACAGGGTGCCCCAGGCAGTGTAATAAATGTCCCTTCTCTGCCTTTCACCATTACTGTCTCTTTATTTGGCATATAGGGGTGAGGGTCCCACCTGATGCATGGAAGCCCTGGAGTTTGGTCCTGGGGTCCAAAACTTCGGTTTCAAAACGTCATCCAAATCAGCAGAGCCTGGCAGACAGTTTGACTTGTATGACAGTAGGGAGGAAGTGCCAAGGACACCCACGTCCTGACCTCCCACAACCCCGGGGAACAGAGCACCCGGGAGCCTGGGCGAGGAGGGCAAGGCTGGACAGCCGCGCACGGGGCGGAGGGACGGGGCGGAAGGACGGGGCGGGAGCAGCGCGCGGGCGGGGCTGGAGGCGGCCTTGACTCTGACTCCTTCCGGTATCTGGGACCGGAACTGAGTAATTCCGGCCTTCCGGCGTGAGGCGGGGCCTGACGGCGCCAGGTCCCGCCCATCTGTCGCGGCGCACCAGGACCGCTGAGGCCCGTCTGCTCGGTGCACGTCTCCAGCGCCATGGCCATGACACTGGGTTACTGGGACATCCGCGGGGTGAGCGGCCCGCTGATGAGTGGGAAGGGACGCGGGGCCGGGACCTGGGCAGCAGCTAGGAGGGAGGCCTAGGAGATGGAACGCCCTTAGGACTTGCTGGAGCCTTCGGCTTGTCTCTCTGCAGAGCCGGCGCGTGCGTTAGGAGGGTGCTGTTGAGTGTAGGCTCACTTGGGGGAGACGAAGTCACATAGTTAGGGTCCCCATTCCTGACCTCTGTCACCTGCCATCTCTCCCAGCTGGCTCATGCCATTCGCCTGCTCCTGGAGTACACAGACTCAAGCTATGAGGAGAAGAGATACACTATGGGGGACGGTAATGACACCTTGTGGCCAGACCTCTGACCAGCTCCTGCCCACTGGTGCCCAGCTTCTCATGCTTGGCCACCTGCGGCTCAGCAATGCAGGCCTCCTTCAGCTGGACCTAGGGCCCACTCCTTCCTAAACCCATGTAGGGTGCAGCGCTGTCTTCATTACAGAGCTCTGGGAGTGGAGGGCTGGATCCCCCTCTGTCTGAAGTTGGGTAACAATTCCTTAAAGCCTGGCCTAAACCTTTCAGATCTCAGTCCTGTAGGGCCATAGACCTAAGAAGCATTCTTTACCCCTGCAACCTGGGAATGTGGGATGGAGTGGGCCAGATTGCAGATGCACCAACTCAGGGGGTCTTGCCTTACACATCAGGGACCCTGGGGAAGGAGGGCTGGACTCAGGGGATCTTTGTTTTCACTCCATCTTGTCCACCACAGCTCCCGACTATGACAGAAGCCAGTGGCTGAGTGAGAAATTCACACTGGGCCTGGACTTCCCCAATGTAGGTGCAGGGAAGGGGGCGTGGGGAAGCGTGGGCCTCCCTCCCTCCTTCCCTCCCCTCCTGCCCAGCTGAGAGTTCTAGCACTCACTCCTGTGGTCTACACCGTGTTCCTCTGATGCTCTGGGTCCCAGCTCTGCATTCATTCTGCAGTGTATTTATGTGTGCTTGCCATGGCCAGGCCCACTGAGTGGCAGGTCCCATGTCTGTCCTAAGCAGGAAAGGGCTGCTGGGACCTGGGCTCCCACCTGACCTTCCGTGTGGTCCGTGCAGCTGCCCTACTTAATCGATGGGGCTCGCAAGATCACGCAGAGCAACGCCATCTTGCGCTACATTGCCCGCAAGCACGACCTGTGTGAGTGGGGCTGGCTGCAGGGTGTGGGGCAGTGGGCGTCCCCTGGGCTTGTCTGGGGTGGGTGCTGAGTGGTGTGTGCTGTGTGGCTGCAGGTGGGCAGACAGAAGAGGAGAAGATTCATGAGGACATTTTGGAGAACCAGCTGATGGATGTCTCTAATGATCTGGCCAGAGTCTGCTACAGCCCTGACTTTGTGAGCTTCTTTTACTGCCCCTCTTCCCCTGGGTTTGGAATCAGGTGTCAGTACTCTCAGATTCTTATTTACGTAGGTCTTGTACTTTTGGCACATTCCTTTTTTTTTTTGGTGGTACTGGGGTTTGAACTCAGGGCTTTTCAATTGCTGTACCACTTGAGCCACTCCATCAGCCTTCTTTTGAACTTAGAGCTGCTTGTTCTCCAGGATGTTTCCTGTGTTTGCCACCAGTGTCCCTCATAGCAACTGAGCACTCTTTTTTTCCCCATGTACTGGGGCTTGAACTCAAGGCCTTCACCTTGAGCCACTCCACCAGCCCTATTTTTGTGAAGGGTTTTTCTGAGATAGGGTCTTGTGGAACTATTTTGCCTGGGACTGGCTTCGAACCTTGATCCTCTTGATCTCTGCCTTCTAGCTAGGATTACAGGCATGAGCCTCTGGCACCCAGCCAACTGAGCACTCTTATTCAAGTCTCCACTAATCTCAGAGTATAGTCCAGTGTCCCAAGGTGGATATTCATAGTGGATAGGTGGATATCGTAGATAGTAAAGTCATGGTTTCAGAATTTTCTCCACCTCTGCCCTCTTCCCTTGGCCCTCTCCCAGCTGGTTCATATCATCTGCCTGCTCATGAAACACACACACTCACTGGTGAGAAAAAGTCCAAGACTCAGAAGGCATGGAAACTTAGAGTTCCCATCTCTGTCCAAATGTATCCCAGTGCTGTCTTCTTCCACCGTCACGAGTCAGCAAGTTTTTCTCATAGGCAACTCAGGGTCAGCCAGGGGACTTCTGTTCCTCGCTCTTTCCTTTCAGCCTCAACTGCTTTCTTTATGAGAAAAATTCATGTATATTTCATTCTTTTGGAACCTACTATGTAGAACTTTTGCCTTCTGGGTACTTTTAGAACTTTCTTCTTTGATTTTTGCCTGCATCAGAGCCCAGAGTCTACCAGGTTGTTAGGGCCCTCACGGGTTGGACGCATAGGGGGTGGTTTGACATCAGTATTGATAATGTCTTATTATTAGGGTAGTGTCCCATTCTCTGATTTCCTATTCTTCCTCTGAAGAATGGGGTGGGGTACCCAGAAGGAGTCTAATAAATGCATTGATTTATATTAAATCAAAGCCTGGACACTGACCCAGTTCCCATCTTGGGGAAGATGGCTAGTTGTTGCCATGCATAGCCCTGGTGAGACTGGTCATTCTGCCAGGGAGTTTGTGTCTGAGGGTGGTGACACCTGTTTTCTGCCTCAGGAGAAACTAAAGCCAGAGTACCTGGAGCAACTCCCTGGAATGATGAAGCTTTTCTCAGAGTTCCTGGGGAAACGTCAGTGGTTTGTTGGTAACAAGGTAAATAGGAAGGAATCCAGATTTGTATTCTTTCCAGGGTACAGAATTTTGTGTTCACTGATCCTTTGGCCTTTTGCAGATCACCTTTGTGGATTTTCTGGCTTATGATGTCCTAGACCTTCACCGTATATTTGAACCCAAGTGCCTGGATGCGTTCCCAAACCTGAGGGACTTTCTGTCCCGCTTTGAGGTGATGCCTCTCATCCTTCTTTCTCTTGGCTGTCACCTTTTCCTTCTCACTTTCCATGATAACTTCCTATGCCTAGAACTGAAGTGAAAATAATGACAGTTTATTGAGCACTGGCATTCTGCCTGGAACGGTGATAAGCGTCTTATATCTATTGGGTCAAAGATAGCATTATGACATTCGTATAGGGTGGATAGAATTGTCAGTCCCACTGGACAGATAAGGAATGTGAGACTGTAGAGGATTAGTCACTTGCTGAAGGTCGCAGGGCCAGTGGAGGTTGTGCTGGGCCTTCTGTGAACTTTTGACTACAAGGACAGCACTGAGTGCTGCCCCTGTTTTGCCAAAGGAAAAGCCCCAGGCCCTTGTGCAGCCTGGGTTTCCTGTCTAGGACTGTGTGGAGGAGGAGGAAATGTCAGGAGTGTGTACAGCTGGCATTAGGAGGGTGAGGCAGCGTGGGGTTGATGTGAAGCACCAGGATTCGGCCCATATCCATACTGGTCTGTGGGGGGCTTTGCTCAATCAGATCCCTGACTAGGGAAGCACTGAGACCCCAGGGCTGTAGTTGGTGTTGGATTTTAGTACATACTCAGGGCCCTATTGAAGAATTTTATCCTGAAGTATTCTATGGTGTGGGACTTTCTCTCTCTCTCTCTCTCTTTTTCCTCTTTCTTGTTTTGAATGTTCCAGTCCCATCTGTAAGGTGGGCTCATTCATTTATTTTTACTCATGGCCTCTGATTTCTGTATGAGGCTCTGTGTCAGGCACAATGGGACATGGCAAGGATGCCTGTTCATCTTAAGACTGAGTGAAGCAACGAATGGCCTGAGTTCTAGACTGTGAGGTGCACATGTGCCTGGGTGCTAGAGAGTCCAGATGGACCTTGCCTCACAGCTAATTGTGGCCCATCCACAGTCCACTTATTTGGCCCCCACAAAACCTACTTTATGTCAGGTGCTGGTGGCTGACTCCTGTAGTCCTAGCTACTCAGCAGGCAGAGATCAGGAGGATCACAGTTCAAAGCCAGCCCAGGCAAATAGTTTGCAAGACCCTATCTCAGAAGAAACCCATCACAAAAGAGAGCTGGTGGAATGGCTCAAGGTGTAGCCCTGAGTTCAAGGTTCAGTACCACAAAAAAAAAAAAAAAAGTGGCCCCTACAAGTGAATGTCATTTGGCCTGGTCCCTTTACTAGAGCTGGAGATGAGGTCAGCTAGGGCACATGAGATTGGACTCAGGCACCAGATGGAGAAATTTGGACTCTGTGCTCTCAAAGGATAGATTAGAACCATGCCTCATCTTTCCTTGCGGGGCCTCCTGCATCTTGCCAACTGTTACCCAACATTTGCTGAATCACTGGGTGAAACCTGGGCTCTTATCCAAGCTGCACTGGAAAATACTTAGCTCCTTTGTCCTGCTCAGGTCTTCCTCTATGTGCAAACCCAGGCAAGAAGGAGCTTCCCTATGGGAAAGGAACTGTCTGCAGACAGGGAGTGACAGGGCCTCCTGTGGGGAGGCAAAAGGTGGGCATGCAGAAAGCACAGAATGGCAGACACAAAGCCTGGCTGACTCCAGCCTCGTTTCTCTCACTAGCTGTGTGAGCTAGATGTCACTTAACCTCTCTGAATCTCAGCAGACTCTGAGCTGCTGCTTTCTCTTTTCCACTCAGGGCCTGAAGAAGATCTCTGCCTACATAAAGACCAACCGCTTCCTCCCAAAACCTTTGTATACAAAGGTGGCCACATGGGGCAACAAATAGGGCCTGGAAAGGGCAGGAGATTGGAGTGAGGTGCCTCTTTTCCTACTGCCCAGCAGCTGGACCCCTGCAGCCCTAGCACTGAAACAGATGGTAGGGACCCTCCCTGAGGTACTGGGGCAGCAGTTCAGCATTGTTAGAGCAGTGTTAAATACTGTCAAAGCACTGTTAATACTAACCCTTGCTATAAGCACCTCTTAGACTGTTCATTTTTCTTTTAAATGTTCTGAAATGTTGGGGGCTGGGGAGGTTTGATTCCTTAATTGATAGCTGTTAGACGCTTCTCTGGAGTTCTTCTGCCTTGAGTGAAGGACTGCTAGTAAGACAGTTGGACCGTCATGCCACATCAGTAGTTTTGAATCCAAAACACGAGTCTGGTGCCAGAAGATACTGCCCCAGCAAGCAGCTTGTACTGGGTTTTTGCCACCACAAGACTTGGTGAATATTAGAAGATCCTGTAGTCTCATCCACCCAGGCCAGAGGTGGAGCACTTTCTCCCTCTGGTGACCCAACAGAAGACCTGTGACTGATGCAAACACAATCCTTCATTTGCATGAAGGGACTGCCATGATTGATGCAGACATCCTTGTCCAACCCTGCTTCCTGCATATATAAGCAGGTTGATTGGCTCACTTTGTGAGTAGCTGGGAGACACCCTCCTGGGCTGCCTGCTGGCGTTGCAACATTTGGTCCAGATAAAGACTTCTTTGGAGTGGTTTTCCTTGCCTTACTTTTGATTTTCATCATTAGTGCAGTGGCTGAGCTGGTAACACAAAGAAAAGAGAAGTAGCCATGGAAACAGCAACAGTGGCAGGGTGGCTGGACCATCCTGACAAAAGTGTGAGTGGAGCTAACAAGCAGTTCCAACTGCAAGCGACCTTGGCAGTGGAGATGGCAGCAGCACCACCTTGGTAGTAAAACTGACATTGGTGGTCAGGGGTGATGCAAACACCCTTGGGGTGAAACTGACACCAGTGGATCATGGGAGCTCTAACACTTGCCTCTGGTGCAGGCTGTCAATCCTCCTGGGCCCTGACCCCTGAGGCTCAGGATCCTGTGCCACCTGTAGTCACCCAGATCCTGACCTCCAAGGTGAGGGGGCTATAGTGTTTGCAACTCTAGGTCTTGGCCTCCGAGGTATGGACTGGCACTTGCTCCAGGTTCCAACCTGAGACCAGCAATGATAAGAAAGGATGCCAGCTGCAGCTGTCCACTGGGATTACAAAAATGGCAAAAATGAGTGACTGGCGGAGCTTCTCACCAATCCATGATTTCCATCCAGGTAGAGCAGAAAGACCCCACAAGATGACTTGAGACAGCATCACTGTCTCATTCCTTCTTTCCATCCTCAAGGCCTCATCAGTCCTTTCCTCTCACTGGCCCCTGTCCCATTTAGGCCACTGGAAGCCTTGGGTCCTTGTTTTCCTTAGCAAGGTCCCCATCCTAACATTGCTGTGTCCTGAACTAAGGCCAACTTGGCCATCCTGCCACCAGTGGCTGTGTCTGCATTGAGGAGCCCAGCTGTGACCCAATCTTTAGAGCTTAGAACTGCACTCTTCACCACTGCCCCAAAGACCCGGATTGCCTGGTGTGTGGTCCTGCTCCCCAGTGAGGTCCCTGCCAGGTCCCCAGTGAAGCCTGAGTCATACTTGCTCTGTGTTTTGTCCTCTTGCCTCTGGCTCCTGCCCTCATCAGCTGTCACTGCTACCTTCCAGGGATTTACTGGAGACCTTGGAGGTGGCTGGGTTCATAGGGATTCTGATAGGGTAGAAGGAGTTTGAAACTTCCTGGTCTCTTTCTGATACCTTCAGAGCAGGTCGCCCCAGGAGACTTTCCAGAGAATAAAGGGCATCTTTCTGGATCTGGAATTGCATTCACTCTGCAGCAGTAATAAGGATTTCCAAGGTGAGGCAGGCAGGGGTCTCACAGAGCAGACAGCCAGGGTGGTGGGAATCACAAGCAGGAAGAGCCAGGATCTCTTTTGCCTCTCAATGTTACAGCTGTGTCACATGGGTAGGTCTCCAGGATCTTATCTCTACTTTATTTCTCAGATGCCTTCAAGGCATCCTCTGGTTTGCTACACACATGGATCTCTTTCTTAGTTAATTCCTCATCTCCCCAGGCCACTCCCTGTGAAGTAAATTTCTTCAGTCCTCACATAACTTAAAATTTCTTCAGTGCTCATGTCCTTAGGACTTTGGGTAGGCATAGAATTGTTGGGTGGATCTTCAGTCTTCAGATGGACTTGCTCCATGCTGGAATTAAGCATTTCTAATGAGAAGACTAAGACCTTTCTCATGTGTACGGTTGTCTTTGACACTGAAGATGGTCCTCTTTGACCTGAGGTCTCTAAATCAAAAGCCTGGTGGGGACCTGCAGGCTGCCATTATGATTTGTGAAGTCACCCTCTCACAAACATCCCTAACATAGGCTTCCTCCACTCGATTCATGAGTTACCACTCCTTCATCTGTGCAGCATCTTCCTAAAGTAATTTTACATCACACTGTAGAGTGAGCTTCAGGAGAAGCTTCAAAAGAAGTTTCTAGTAGCTCAGTGATTCCTACCCATGGTATCAGAGTGAGTTGTCTAGTTTGTGGGTAGGTGGTTAGCTTTCCATCATAATAGCAAAATGCCTGAGACAATGAACTTATAAAAACTAAGATGGCTTCTGGATTAGATGTTTCAGCCTTTGGGTAGATGTGCTAGATGGTAATGGTGAGGCATGTGATGCACAACCAACTGCTCACCTCATGACCAGGAAATGAATGAGGAAGAGACTAAGGTCCCCAAATCCCTTTCAAGGACACCTCCCCAATGACTTAAGATCCTGTTGCTAGGCCCCATCTTTTAAACATTCCACCACTTCCCAATAGTGGTGACCAAGCCTTTACTATATGAGCCTCTGAGGGATATTCAGGATCTAAACTACAGCCATAGGCATTCAGGGAAGGCTCAGATGAGAGATATTATTGCAATCAGTAAAAGTCTTTTTTCCTAGAACTATATCAAAAAACAAGACTTAAACAGGCATTTCCCAAAAGTGAATATCCGAAGGACCAATGGTATGAAAATATGACAAACACCATTAGATAGTAGTTAGGAACACTGTATGCTCCTAGTATACACCCACTAGAATGACCAGCATTCATTGATGAGAGTTGGTGAATTTATGGAGTAACTGAAACTCTTGTGCATTGTTGGTGGGACAACCACTTTGGAATACTGACAGTATCAACTAGAGCTGAACATGTATCTGCCTGTGACCCAGGAATTCCTCCCAGTAAGAATGAGTGCTTTTGTCTTTGAAAAGACACGTAAGACTTGTGCAGTAATACTGAAAGCAGTTTTTAAAATTAATGTAAATATTCAAAAGGGTTGGAGTTGTGGCTCAAGGGGTAGAATGCCTGCCTAGCAATCTCAAGGCCCTGAGTTCAAACCCTAGTATTGACAAAAAAAAAAATAAAATTAATGTAAATATTCAATAACTGACAACAACCCAAATTGCATCAACAGAAGAATGGATAAGCTGTGGTTTGTTATACATATAGTGAAATAGTACACTATAATTAAAAATAATTGTACAAATGCTACACACAGCAACATGGATGAGCCTCACAGACATGTTAAGTAAAAGGATCAAGACAGAAAAGTACACGCTATAAATATCATTCCATTTGCATGAAAATCAAGAGTAAGAGCCAGGTCCAGACCAGTGGCTCAAGCCTATAATTCACAGCTACACAATGGGGGGATTGTGTTTTGAGGCTAGGTTGGCCAAAAAGTTTACAAGACCCCATCTCAACCCATGTCTGGGTGCAGTGGCATGTGTCTGTCATTCCAGCTCTGCAGAGAAGCACAAATAGGAAGATCAGGACCCAGGCCAGCCTAGGCATAAAGGCAGACCCTAGCTCAAAAATAGCCAACTCAAAAAGGGGTGGGGACATGGCCCAAGTGGTAGAGCACCTGTCTAGCAAGCATGAGGCCCTGAGCTCAAACCCCAGAACCATCAAAACAGCTAGGATAGCCCATAGCACTTGGCACTTTTATAGTCTTATAATCCTTTGGAGTTTTTTTCTTTACCTCGATCCTTTGTAAATTATTGATTGTGTTTATTTTCACCTGAGGAATCACCACCTATGAGTCCCTGTGTAAAGCCGTTTACTCATTTCCTACTTGTCATCCATTTCCTGGAGAGTGTTGAAGAACCTGTAGCAATCAGAATCTTTGTTATCTCCAGAGGCAACACAATTAATTATGACTGTGTTCTAGGTTTCTTATCACATAATGTGATAGTTAATTTAATGTGTCACATAGATGGCGAGACATCATTTTTGGGTATGTTAGTCATGCTATGTCCAGAAGAGATTAATTAATTGAATTTGAATTAATAAAGAGGAGAGCCCTTGCCAATATGGGTCACTTCCATTTAATTAGTCAGAGCCTTGACAAGTCAAAACACAGAGGAAAGGGGAATTTGCTCTCTCTGTTTGACTGGGACATCCACCTTTTCTTGCCTTGGGATATCTAGCCAACTGTTTCTCTACCCTGCAAAATAACAAGGGCTTACACCATCACCCCCCCCCCCCACCTACCCAGACCTTCAGACTTGACTGAATTACACTGACTTGTTTGCTTCACTGGATTGCTGGAGAGATTATGGTACTTGAGCCAATTCCTATCATAAATAAATATACATAAATGTAATAGTTTATTTGTGTCTATATCTTCTGTTTCTGTAGAGAACTATAATTAATATATATTGTAAACAAATCCATACATTAATTGTATAATGAATGAATAAGTTTGTAAAATGAAATATAACACAAAACACTGCAGCATATCATATATTTGGAGTCATTTTCTATTTGGAATGGACTGGAGGTAAGATTCTTCTTTTGTCCTTGTAAATCTTCCTGCTCATCCTCGGAATTTCATGGACCTCCGAGGGGTAAATCACCCGCCTGTCTGCACATTTTGCCCAGTCCATGTGCCTGAAGGTGTTTGGGGAAGATTGCAAGGGTGAGTGGATAGTGAGAAGGAGCTACTGTAATTGTGATGTCCATCACTGTTGACTGTGGCCCATAGTAGTCACTAGGTGCTTATCCAACTTGTGGCCTCCCTTATGGGCTGGTTAAGTGCTGGTGGGTCCCAGAGAAGCCATTGTAAGCTAGCGGTGACTTGTAGGAACTTTCTCTACACCGTTCTTTGTCATGGTGCATTCCTTCAAAAATAGTTTGGTTACCCTGCCTAGTCCTGCTCCAGTTAGCCCTGGAAGAATTACTTCCTGGGGGTTGAGCACAGGCTTCCTGGCCTTTGAACAGTGTGCCTAGCACTGCATGGGAGGCCAGCTGTGTGACCACCAAAGAGTCCCCTTTCTCTGCATTGTAACCTTTGAGACCAGGCTGCCCAGTCTCTCCTCTCTCTGCCCATGTCTCCTCTGTCCTTCCTGTTCTGCAGTCTGATGTCACAGTGGATGCCTTCAGGGTAAGATTGTTTTAGGTCTTCCCTTTCGGCAGCCCCTCAGCCGCTGGTTTCCAGGGCAATGGCTGCGCTGGCCTCTTGTTATCCAGAATTCTAAGCCATTATTTTCCAATTGCAGCTTTTGACCCATTCATAGTTCCTAGACTGTGGGCTATTAACCTGGGCATAGCTGCCAATTTGGACTACACAATTCTTTGCTGTGGGGGCTGTCTGGGCACTGCGGGGTGTTTTGCAGTGCACCAGCCTCTACTCACTAGGTGCCAGTAACACTTTCCAGTTTGCCAATCAAAGTTCTGATCATCACTAAAAGTATTTTGAGGGACAAAACTGCCTCCTATTACAGACCAGTGATGTAGTGGATGAAGACTTCCATTTTTCAAGAGTAAAAAGTTCAGAATGCAACTCATGCAGATAAGCTGGGTCTTTTCTGATAAAACTTTTATTTCAATTTGTAACAGAGGGACAGAACAGGGAGACATGGGACTCACCAGTGGTCACACAACTGACCTCTCATGCAGTCCTCAGCACACCGTGTCCCAGATAATGTGGTCATTGTTTTTCTCTTTTCTACTGTTTATTTAGTATAATCTCAGGCTTTGAGAAAATTTGCAAAAAAGAGTACAAAGAGCTCCTGCATACCCCAGCTGCTCCCTTCATTCATGTTACCTCCATGCTCTCTCTCTCCCTCCCTCCCTACCTTTCTCTGTCTGATTCCTCAGCATGATGTGTTCAAGCACAAAAGCAATTATAACCAAGATGGCATATTATTACTCTAGATGATAGAAGGGACAGTGATTCATAATTATCCTCACTGTGCTGCCTTCCCACGTAGTGAAGGAATCTCATTCCTTTGGCGTGAGATTAACTCTGCCTTGCGGCAAGTTGCCAATTAGCTGTTCTGCATGTCAAATTGCAGCAGAACCAAGCCAGCCTTCCCACGGTCAGTCAGTGTTTGCTGAGACCAGCAAAATCCCCAATGAGAACAAGAACAGAGTACAGATAAGCAAACAAAAACCAGTCTGGATTTGTCTGTGCTTCACGTTGTTGTCTGAACCTGTAGTCACCTCTGCTGTTTTAGTACTAGGTGGCGCTCTAAGTTCAGGTTTGCATCATTTCTGCTGTAAAGTTTGGAGCATGGTATATGGGGTGTTTATGACTTTGGGTGAAGACAGCCCTGTGTAATTGATCACCAATGTGGCTTTAAGTAACCCCTATTAAACTCATTTTGCTCATCAAACTGGACTTGTAGGAGTCACTTTGAACTGTCTCAGTCTGGGGACAGTGTTTTGTTTTTTACATCTCCTTGGAAAGGTCACACAGCAACTTTTCATGCTTTACATATGTGTGGTTTATGACAATTGATTTAACACATTCCTTTTTGAACAATCATCCTGAAAATTCCTGAGGACTAAGTGTAAGTTTTTTTTTGGAGGGGGTAGGACTAGGGTTTGAACTCAGGGCTTCATGCTTGCAAAGCAGGTGCTCTACTGCTTGAGCCACATCTCCAGTCCATTTTGCCCTAGCTGTTTTGAAGATGGGGGCCTCTGGACCTGTTCCCTCTGGCTGGCCTTGAACTGTGATTCTCCTGATCTCAGCCTCCCAAGTAGCTAGGATTATAGGTGTGAGCCACTGGCACTGGCTTTTTTTTTTTTTTGAGGTGGGTCTTGCTTGTACCCCAGTCTCCCAAGTGTTGGGATTACAGGATAACTTAATGCCTGTGGATCAATAGATCAATCTCCCCCACCCTTCCTCTATCTGACTTTCCCTGCCTCTAGTAACTACCATTCATTCTACTCTCAACTTTTATGAAATCAACAATGTTGTACCTATGGGTGAGCGCATGCCTAATTTATTTTTTCTGTGCCTGGTTTAATTCAATTAACTTAATGATACACAGTTCCATCCATGTTGTGACAAGATTTCATTCTTGAAAATCTTTTATTGTTCTTAATTATTAATGCATATTAATTGCACAAATTTATGGGTTTCACTGTGACTTTTTTTTTTTTTTTTCAGTACTAGGGCTTGAACTAAGGGCCTATACCTTGAGGCACTTCACTAACCCTTTTTTTGTGTGTGTTGGGTATTTTTGAGATAGGGTCTTATGAACTATTTGCATGGGCTGACTTGTAACTATTATCTTTCTGATCTCTGCCTATGAGTAGCTAGGATTACAGGTGTGAGTCACTGGTGTCTGGTGTCACTGTGACTTTTTCATGTGGGCATATATTGTGGTTTGATCATATCCATTCTGCATACTATCCTCTTGCCTTCCTCATTCTCCCTGCTTCCTCCAGTTCCCTTACCATTCCCTGATAGTATCTCTTTTACTTCCGGGTTGTCTTTTCTTCTTCTTCTTCTTCTTTTTTAGTTTCCACATATGAGAGAGAACATGTGATACCTCTCTTTCTTTATCTGACTTTTCTGAAAATGACATTATTTCATTCTTCTTTATGGCCGAATAATATTCCACTGTATATATACACTACATTTTCTCTGTCCATTCATCAATTGTTGGGCACTGAGGCTGATTCCATAACTTGGTTACTGAGAATAGTGCTGTAAACATGGGTGTGCAGGTGTCTCTTTTGTTTCGTGACTTCATTTCCTTTGGAAATATACCAGATCGTGCAGTAGTTCTATTTTGAGGTTTTTGGAGAACGTCTACACTGATGATGTCCACAGTGATGGTGCTAATTTATATTACCATCAACAGTGTGTAAGAGTTCCTTTCCCTTCACATCCTTGAGAGAATTTGTTATTTTTATTTATTTATTTGGCAGCACTGGGGTTTGATCCCAGGACTTTGTCCTTGCTAGGCAGGTGTTCTACCAGTTGAGCCATACTTTATTTTTTAATAGCCATTCTGAGTGGACTGAGATGAAATCTCAATGTAGCTTTGATTTGCAGTTCCCCCATGACTAAAGATGTTGAGAATTTTTTCATATATTTATCGGCCATTCATACTTTGTTCTTCTGAGTAGTGTCTGTTCAGAACATTTGTTCATTTATTGACTGAATCACTTGTTCTGTTGTTGTTAACTTTTTTGAGTTTTTTTTTTTTCTTTTGAAATAGGCTTTCCCTATGTAGTCCAGGCTGGCCTTGAACTCCATCTTCTTGCCCCAGATTCCCAAGTATTGGGATTTCAGGCATGCACCACCATACCTGGCTACATTTTTGGGTTCTTTATATATTCTGCATCTTAGTCTTCTGTCAGGTGAATGGCTGGCAGAGATTTCTCCCATTCTGTTCCCTTTTTTGTGCAGAAGCTTTTTCATTTGATGGAATCCCATTTGCTAATTCTTGCTTCTACTTCCTGAGCTCTTGAGTCTCAGGAAATCGTTGCCTGTGCCAACACTTTGCAGTGCTTTCCCTATGTTGCCATC